TTCTCTAGTAAAGCATTTCCCACATGTATTTTAGTTACATTTTTTAGCACTATCCTTTCCAGCCCACTTTATAGTATTTGTTAAGAAGAGACTGTGCCCATTCACCACAGCATCATCTGTGCAAAGCACTGTGCCTGGCACATAGCAGATGCTCAATGCCGGTTGTTCTTTTCAGTGAGTTACAAGAGGCAGACTTGAGGGAAAACATGGATGCCAGTTTAAAACAGCTCTCTGTAAGCCAGTCCTAAAATCCATGTCTAGCCCTACAGTCACTAGGCCAGCAAAACCAATCTTCCTGTTTCAAGGATGCTAGGACTGTCACCATAAAGTGGTTTTGATCTGCTGATTTTTCTGGGAATGATGCCATAGTCTCCTCACAGACTTGTGGCTGTGAGCACTGATCAATCTATGAGTGCTACAACAAAATAAGTAGGTGTCAGAAATGACAAACACCTCCGCTATGTCAACAGTCAAAACAGCATGAAGTTTCCAAGAGAAAAGACATCTTGATTTCCTAGGGGCCATTCTACAAAGAGGAAGTAAATTGTCTGAGTTCAAAAATCTTACTCTCTTGCTCCAGAGCCTGAAAAATAGAACGTATAACAGCTAAAACTGACAGCCATTACACTGCTTCTATTTCATCCTCCCACATCTTCCTCTTGGCATTGCTTTTATTCTTCGGCTGCTATTACCCTAGGATTGGAGGCTGAACAACAGCTGAGGGCAAGTAAGTAAGTGGTCTTGGGAGATAAGACCTAGCACTATACAAATGTGAAGGACTACATTCTTTTTATTTTTATCAAATAAAAACCACTCTAAACAATCTGAAGCCTTTTAAATTTTAACAGAATAATGATGCAGGGCCCTTGAAGGAATAATGAGATCTACACACTGAGACACAGTGCTACGTCTGGAGATATGCTTTGAAGTATAGTCCCTCACTGCCGTAAGTCAAGGTGGGTCTCACATGATGAGAGGGAAAAAAAGGAAGATATGCATGTACAAGGACACAGAGGCATGAGACAGCATGGACGTATGAGAAAATGCACCTGAAGCACAGGGTAAAAAGTGGGAAATCACTGAGAAGGAGGCTGGGTCTGTGCTGACAGACCTGGAATCCCATGATTTGCTCTCATCCTCATGTTGCCACCTGGGGGGAACCTTCGCTTTCATCTCTTCTGTCACTGACTCCTCAGAGAGGCAGCAAGGACAGGGCACAGGATGGAGGGATGGGAACGAACCTAGAGTTATAAACCAGGCCATGCAAGAGAGAGATAAAACCAGTATTGAAAAGAAAAGCTGAGTGAAGTAGATGTGCCTTTTCCTTCCCAAGGTTCAGGAGTCATAAGACTGAGTGTGGGACCTCTGGAAGGAGGAATGAAGAGATTATACCAGCAGAAAAGGGACAAGCACTAGCCACTTTGTACATGAGAATTAATTCTTGTCCCAGGGCTGTAGGGCTCAAGAGAGTAGAGGAGTCAGCCTGAGTCAAAGAAGAAAAAGTGGAAATCTGGCTGTTTATGATTTTTTATAGGCTGTTACTTTAGGGAAAGAAAGGAGGCCAAAGATGCCTTCTGGCTTTTCCAGTCCAATTTACCAGGGGAACAAGAGACAGGGACTTGGGACAGGGCCTCTGAGAGCTAGCAGATGAAAGTCTTCATAGGGCTGTCCCGAACGCAAAGGAAGGAGTATCAAGCAGCCTCCACGACTACCCAGCACTATTGTGCTAGCCACCCTGGAACATGAATAGTATCCCGAGAAAAGCCTACAGCCTTAACAAAAGGGAGCATCACTCCCTTCAAGCAAGCAAGGTTAGTTGGAGACAGCTGTTTACAGACAGTGGGTCGTGTTTGCCAGTTCTGATTTACAAAACCTCGGGGCAGCTCCAATAACCACATTTAGGTTCAGCTCAATCAATGTGTGTTGTCCTCTACTTGATGCCAGGCCCTGGGCTGGACACTGAGGATACAGAAGAAACATGAGACAAGGCCTCTACCCTAAGGATGCTCATCGTTTAGGCATAGAAACAGTCATCAAAACAGGGTTAAAATAGAGCAGCAAGTCCTACAACAGAGGAAGCACAAGGAACCCCTTGTTCGTGGCAGGAGAAGTAACCCAGTGCAGGGAATTAGAGGTTTCTCAAAGAGGGAGATTTGTTTTCCCCCTTCTCATCCGATCTTCCTCAATGGGATTTAAAGGTTCAGGGTGTATTAACCAAGAAGGAAAGTCTTGCAAGTAAAGAGAACAGCGTGTGAGAGATCTCGAAACAGTATGATGATCTATGAGATGGGAGAGGAAGTTGGAGAGAAAGATGGGACAGATGGCATTAGACATGTCATTAGGCTTCCTTTTATAAAAAGCCAAGGAGTGGGTCCGAGCATGGTATACACAGAAAATTATCTATGAGAGAGAGGATCCCAAGAAATTTTAAAAAGCAAAAAACTCACACCTAAACAAAACTAATTTTATTTCCTGCTAATTTATGTAAGACTTTTAGAAGGAGGATATCCCAAAATAAAACAACTCCAAGAACTTACTCTAAGGCGTCACAACTCAGAAAGGGTGTAAATCACTCTTTCTGAATTTTAAAAGCACTTTGTATCCTCCTTTTAGCACTGTCACTTTCTGCTTGGGAGCATAGTTATTTGTGTCTTACCTCTAACGGTTTATCAGCTCCCTGTGAGCATGAACCAGGTCTTGCTCTTTCATACTAGAAAACTTTATTGCAGCTCAGTCTGAATAGGCAAGATACCCCCAACGGTACCTAGCCTGTAATAGATCTTGGAAAAAGATAGCCTTATGGAGTTACATGATATCAGAGCTAAGAGACTCTTGAAGATATTCTAATCCAGAGTTTCTCAAACTTTGTGAAGAATCTGACAAAAGCTGTGGATTCTCTTCCCAGAAAAACTCATACATAGAAAACATTTTACGTACAACGTCATGGCCAGCCATACCCAGAGAGGTAAGGTTAACTTGCCCCAAATCACAAAGCTAGTAAGTAGTAGAACCAAGCCTAGAATACAAGTTTCCTGGTTCCCAATTCAGTACTCTTCTCATTACAAAGGAAAAAATTTAGTAGGGTTGTTTCCTCCTGGGAGGGTTCCTGATACAAGCCTCAGGTGTGGCAATGTTTCTCTTACAAAATTCCTTGATATAAGGATGATACTCAGAAGAATGTGGCAAGTTTAGTGAATTCTGAGGTCCAAATGCAGTGGTCCTGGACCTCTGCTAAGGTGAGAAACAATGGGAGATGTGCAGGGTTTCGTGGGACCATCGAACTAAGCCAAAGAACCAAAAATGACATTGAAATCTCCCCAAGTAAGAACAGCAAAATCTTCCTAACTATACTGTTTGCAGGTCAAAAAGCAACAATTAGAATGGAACAATGGACTGGTTCCAAATTGGGAAAAGAGTACATCAAGGCTATATATTGTCATCCTGCTTATTTAACTTATATACAGAGTACATCACGTGAAATCTGGGCTGGATGAAGCACAAGCTGGAATCAAGATTTCTGGGAGAGATATAAAAAACCTCAGATATGCAGCTGACACCACCCTTATGGCAGAAAGTGAAGAGGAATTAAAGAGCGTCTTGATGAAGGTAAAAGAGGAGAGTGAAAAAGCTGGCTTTAAACTCAACACTGAGAAAACTAAGATCATGGCATTCTGTCCCAGCACTTCACGGCAAATAGGTGGGGAAACAATGGAAACAGTGACAGACTTTATTTTCTTGGGCTCCAAAATCACTGCAGACGGCACCTGTAATCATGAAATTAAAAGATGCTTGCTCCTTGGGAAAAAAGCTATGACAAACCTAGACTATGTATTAAAAAGCAGAGACATTACTTTGCCAACAAAGGTCCACCCAGTCAAAGCTATGGTTTTTCCAGTAGTCATGCATGGATGTGAGAGTTGGATCATAAAGAAGGCTGAGCATGGAAGAGTTAATGCATTTGAACTATGGTGCTAGAGAAGACTCTTGAAAGTCCCTTGGACAGAAAGATCAAACCAGTCAATCCTAAAGGAAATCCACCCTGAATATTCATCAGAAGGACTGATGCTGGGAAAGATTGAAGGCAGAAGGAGAAGGGGATGACAGAGGATGAGATGGTTGGATGGCATCACTAACTCAATGGGCATGAGTTTGAGCAAGCTCCAGGAGATGGTGAAGGACAGAGAAGCCTGGCATGCTGCAGTTCATGGGGTCACAGAGTCAGACACAACTGAGCAACTGAACAATACTGTTTACAGGAAGTGATAGAATCCTGACTCAAAGACAGACTGACTTTCAAGCCAACATTGTGTCCATCCCACCACATAGTCCTCTTCAAATGCACAAAAATCTAACTACCACAGAAGCAATCCTGCAGCTGGAGCCAGAGCAATAGCCTAAGTAATCCTAGAAATAACTCTCACTTATCTGTGATAGTGGATTCAAGAAACACATGCATCTTTTAAATCTGCTAACACATAAGCAAAAAAAATCAGCAATTTGGCTGAAAATGTTAATCCACTTCTATATGCCACAAACCATTCATTCAACTAAACTAAATGTATCACTTTCATTGTGAGGTCCATATTGAATGAAATACTAAGATGGTTTTTTCTTTAAGTGTCACAGATAATAAAACCAAATCATGTCCTTTTCCCTGTGATAATCTCACCTAGGGACAAGTTTGGGAACTGGCAATAACATCTCCACTCTGGATCATATCCAAACTATATAACTGGAGAGAATTGAGGGACGACCCCCTATCCTTTCTGGCTCCAATATAATCCAATCTATGCACATCTGATCTTCTGGGTCTTTGCAAAAGCTACACACTATCCTTTTCTAAAGGACCCCTAGGGACTTCCCTAGTGGTCCAATGGTTAAGACTGCACTTCCACTGCAGGGGGCATGGGTCCAATCCCTGGTTGAGGAACTAAGATCCCACATGCCTCGGCCAAAAGAATTTTGAAAATAAATAAATAGAAGACCACTGCTCCCTTTACCTCTTCTGGCTTAACTAGATGCTTGTATCTTCCAATGCCATGCGTGGGCTTTGACCTGTAGTGCCGATTGGTGGTCAACAGAATGCCACCTGAAAGACAGAAAATAAGACAAACCTGTTTCAAAATTCCTCAAGGACAGACAGGTCATACATGAGGAGATAAATTCTCCACTGCAAGATGGAATATCTGGGGACAGCAAGCCTCTCGTTGGTTTAAAGAACCAGAGTTATTTCTTGATCCTGAGCTGACATTCAGTATACCCCTTTTCTCTTTCCTTTTGGCCCCTGGACTACATCTAGTTCCCACTTTGAGAAATTCTCTCCTGTTAGAGCCACTGGTGTAGGGGGACAAAATACATTCTCACAGGACTCTCATTTTCTCTTGTCCCTCAACAGGCAATAATCCTTTTGAAGTTTTCCAGTGAGGATTGTTCAGAGAGAGAGGTGGCAAAAATAACCAGCAGAAGGACTACAAAGTTGTTAAAACTATCCAATTTGCTTTATTTGTGCTGATATATAATGATCTCCAACAGGCTTCAAATGAATTACAATAAAAACTAAAAACATAAGGTACAGAACAGTACATAGATAAAAAATAGAATCGCCATATATTGATACTCTACATTAATACTCTATATATTATATATTAATACATATTCATTGTGGTAGAGCCAGAGATGTGTCACCCAGATCCCCTTCAAAGAAGGACTTGCTGATACATACAAATCCTCCTTTAATCCCCATTATTTTTATCTTCATTTACAAACAAAGAAACTGCAGCTCAAAAAGTAGGAATTGGAGGGAATGCCAAGGTGATCCAGTGGTTAAGACCCTGTGCTTCCACTGCAGTGGGCACAGGTTTGATCCCAGGTTGGGAAACTAAGATCCTGCATGCCATGCTGCAGCCAGAATAAATGAATAATAAAATTAAAAATAATAATTAATATAATAATAAAATAATAATATATTTTAAAAAACAAGAATTGGCCAAGGTCATCTGCAAGTAAAAGGCAGAACTGCAATTTAAATCCAGGTCTATCTCACTAAACAGCCTGTGCTCAGATGTGTTATAACATCTGAATTTCTAGAATACAAAATCTAGCTAGACTTGATCATTCCCATATCTGATATCAGTTCCTTATTTTTACCCTTCACTGGAACCAGCTGTGCTATGTCTGTGTATCTCTTTTGCTCACTCCCCACCTTCTGGAAAAGTACTGGTCCTAGGTTCTGCTCTCTTTTCTCCTAGTTCCTGTGGTCCTACCCTCATCTCCCCAAAGCCACCACTTTGTGGGGTGCTAAATACAAAATCGTGTGGAAAAGTTTAATGACATTCTAGTAAAATATTTCTTAAGTTTCTCTTTTCTAAAATGTGCTTCCAAGTAGTCTGCTCTGTGTCAGGCCAATCAAGAGTCATGGCTTCAACTATGGAGCACTGTAGGGGGGTTCCTTTAAAAACTAAAAATAGAGCTACCATATGATCCAGCAATCCCACTCCTGTGCACACATCTGGAGAAAAACATGGTTGAAAGGATACATGGACCCCAATGTTCATTGCAGCACTATTTACAATAGGTAGGCCATGGAAGGAACCTAAATTGTCCATCAACAGAGGAATGGATAAAGAATATGTGGTACATATATACAATGGATTACTGAGCCATAAAAAGAATGGAATAATGCCATTTGCAGCAATAGTGGACCAAAGAGATTGTCATACTGAGTGAAAGAAAGAAAGAAAGTGAAAAAAAATATATATCACTTATATGTGGAATCTAAAACAAAAGTACAAATAAACTTATCTACAAAACAGAAATAGACTTACAGATGTAGAAAAATTTATGGTTACTAGGAGGCAAGAGGAGAGATAAATTGTCAGACTGGGATTGACATATACACACTACTATGTATAATATAGATAACTAAAAAGGACCTACTATATAGCACAGGGAACTCTAGTCAGTATGGGAAAAGAATCTAAAAAGGAGTGGATATATGTGCATATATAACTGATTCAATTTGCTGTACATCTGAAACTAACATAACATTCTAAATCAACTATACTCCAATAAATACTTAAAAAAAAAAAAGAGTCATAGCTTCAGAAATTTCCTTGAATTCACAATCCACAATATTTCATCAAGACAACCCTTGGATATCATGGATCCCTTCCATGATATGCATCAGTCTGCATTTACAATTACATGCCAACAACTGTATAGATACTGGGACAGTTACAAAGATGACTATAATATGCCACTTTCCCTCATACATACATTCAGTACATACTGAGAAGGATAATGGGAAAGCAGATAACTACCTTATGGTGTACAAAATACTTTAATGGAGATAAAAGCAAGGAACCTAGATGAAAGAACAACTAACTCTGTCTGGGGCATGAGGTGGGGGCAAGGGGGTGAAGGAGGGCACAGGGGAAGGGTCCAGAGAAGTAACAGCTGCATTCTTGAAAGAGGAGTAAGAGTTTACCATTCAAGGAAGAAGGAACTATTTTTGGCAGAGATTTCCAAATAACTGAGGTATCTTTTGGTCATGGTCCCAACTGACCCTCTAAGCCTTTGGGTTCCAGACTCTGCAACCGAAGGTACCACCCAAAGAGCTAATATGCAAAACGCCTTGATGGGTACACAATCATGCTTAGATCACAGCTTTGAAAATGAATCCATCCACCAAGATTTTATTATGACTTTAATACATGACCTTCTAAAAAGTAATGAACTCCCCAAAGCATGTTTATTCATTCAACAAATATTTATTACTACCCAACAGAGTAGCCAGCAACAATTATACCCTCTCAACCATGTGACTTGCACATATCAAGAGTTATGCAGTGTACAAAAAGCCCAATATCCATGGAACGCCTGGTTGGTACTGCCCTAGATGCTGGGGCTCTAACAATGGACAAACACAAAGCCCCTGCAATACAGAACCTATGATCTGTTGGCGAGACTAATACCAATGCTGGGTGAAAAGGGCTCTCTATGATAAGAGCCATATACATGGGGTAGGCATTAAGACTGGACTTGTGGTGTCAGGAAATGATTCTTAGAGCAGGAGACTTTTAAGTAAAACCTGACAGGTGGCTTGGAGTTAGTGAGGCAAGAACACAGTATGGGGAGAGGAAGAGCCAGAGAGAGAATTTCGAGGCAGAGTATGAGGAGAAAGGCGGCAAGAGACGAGCTTACAGAAACAGGCAAAACCTAGGAACAGCTTAATTATTCAGTACTTATGATGTACCAGGCACTGTGCAAAGAGGTGGAGATATAACAGGGGACATGACCAACAAAACCCTGCTTATGGAGCTTATAGTCTAGTAGGAGGAGGGAATAGTCACAAAAAAATATGAAATTACAAATTGTGAAGAATGATAAAAAGAGCTATGGCAATTCAATCGGTGGATCTATTTTAGACTGAAATATCAGGAAAGGCCTCTCTAAAATAGAATGACCTGTGAACTGAAACTAGATGTCAGAGGAAAATAATAATAGTGGCTATCCCCAGGGAGAAGTGGCTAGAAGGCAGGAGAGAGAGATTTACAGCTGACTTTATACTCTTGATTCTTTAAAAAAATTTTTTCGTGTACATGCATTATCTACTCAAAAAAATAAAATAATAAATTGAGACCCAAAAGATAGGTATGGATGGAGAAGGAAATGGCAACCCACTCCAGTATTCTTGCCTGGAAAATCCCATGGACGGAGAAGCCTGGTAGGCTACAGTCCATGGGGTCGCAAAGAGTCGGACACGACTGAGTTACATTACTTCACTTCACTTAATGATATTATTAACTAATAAAGATAGCTCTGTTTAAAAAAAAATAGATATGGAGTTTATTAGGTAAAAGATAGAGTGAATGTTCCAGGCAGAGGGAATAGCACGTGCAAAGCCCTCAGTAGGTGACACTGATTGGCATATTCAAGGAATTAAAAAGGCTGTCCATGTGGCTGAAGCAAAGCAAGAGGGACTGCATTCACCAGAGATTAGGGCCTTGTTAAGGGTTTGGATTTCATGCTGAACATGAGAGAAATTATATGCCTAATGTGTTTTTAAAAGATCACTTTGGTTGTTGTTGGGGGAAGGCTAGTGTGAACGGAAGTTCAAGCAAAGATTCAAGTAGTAGCCTTGGCTGAGGTGTTGTTAGTCTTCCTGTATCCACACCCCCATCTTTATTCCATCCTCTAAAGCTGACAAATGAATCCTTCTAAAACACAAACCAAATCATGCTATTTTCTTTCATTAATTCAACCATTTATCCATTGCACACACACAATTTTTTAAAAAGTCTTTGCTGTATTTCAGAATGTTTGATGATTTTCCACTGTCTGAAGTTCGTACTCCTTAGGCAAGCTTTTAAGAACCTTAATTTGTAATTTAGTTCCAACCACTTCATGTCCTCACTCTCCATCCTCCAGGCCTTTAAAACTTTGCTTCTCAGCCACAGAGCTACACTTGGCATTCTGTATAAAACATGAAGTTCTCCTGCCTCTACGCTGTGCCGGGCTGTCCCCTGTGCTGGGACTGCACCTCTCTGGTGATATCCTTCATCACCTCCAAGGCCAGCTTAAATGTCATCGTCTCTGTGCGTCCCTAAACATACAAACGTCATCAAGAGTTTACTTTATGGTTACAGCTCTCCCATGCCTCCATTGTATAGTAAAATATTTGGTGTAAATTAAAAAACAACAACAACCCAGGTGATCACCCACCACTGGTTTTAAATAACAGAACCAAAAGTGATCTTTGAGATGATGACACATCTTAGGTGAAAATACCACAAATGCTTGCCTCAGCTTCTCATCTACTGGAATTCCTTGGCAAGGAGGCATTTTCAAATTTAGTTTGGGGCAATTCCTATAATTAGAGCAGCTGGTTAATTAAGAAGTTAGTTCAAACTACTGTTAAATTAACCATCTTCTCTCTTAAATGAACAGTTTTGGTCAAATTACCAATGGTTAAACTGCTTAATTAGCCAGTTGTTTTAATTATAAAATGTACAACTTTGAAAGCCTCTGTTTCCATTAAGTTCAACTGAGTTTTTCCCCCTGCTTGTGTCATTAAGCTGGTTTCCTGCT